TCTTAACTTTTTCATTTTAATCCTTTTTGACAACTTGAGTTAACAGGAAATCAACATATTAAAATTTACAATAAACAGAAATAAGCGGAAGACTTAAGCAGCTAAAAATAACCAAGCCAGTACTACAATGCCAATATACTCCTCTACCCGGAATCTGGTGTCACAATATTCACGGACGGACTAAGATTACTACAACAAATGTCTGAAAGAAGAAATACAGTTTGTCTCGGTAACAAGTGAAAACAGAACATAATCATAGATAGAAGAGAGCGTCGGGCCTGTGGACGCCTGCAGGACTACCTCGGACTCTCTGACTGGACCGAAGGCTGGCTCCCCGAGTGCTACTGTCCAAATGCTGCTCCGGTATCTGTTCATAGTGCAGAGTGTAGTATCAGCACAACCGACCACATGTGCTGGTAAGTGTCTGGCCTAACCCCGGCGATGTAGTGACGAGGCTAGGACCAAACTCCAGATAAACCTGTGCAGTTATATAATATACAGCGGAAAATAAACAGAAATAAACAATTTAAATGGGAGGGGGTACATGCTACGGGGGATAATGTCAAATCTAGCAGGAACTTAAGAGAAATACGAGAGAACAACTCAGAATCTACAATAAAACAATAATAGTACTGTTACGACGCGCAACCCGATCCCTTAACATTTACCACTGTTGCGGCGTGCAACCCGATCCATTATAATATTTACCATTGTTGCGGCGTGCAACCCGATCCAATATAATATACTATTGTTGCGGCGTGCAACCCGATCCAATATAATATACTATTGTTGCGGCGTGCAACCCGATCCATATTTATAATATTATTGCGGCGTGCAACCCGATCCATATTTATAATATTGTTGCGGCGTGCAACCCAATCCATATATATATATATATATATAATATTAATATTATATATATATGCCTTTAATAACAACCATACCAAGTGTCCCGGCAAGGGATAAACAATAAACTACACTATCCCGGCAAGGGATCAACAATAAACTACACTATCGCGGCAAGGGATCAACAATACACTTACACTATCCCGGCAGGGATCAACAATAAACTACACTATCCCGGCAAGGGATCAACAATAAAAAGTAAACACGTCCTTGGCAAGGGAGAATCAGCTATAACCATCTTAACTCAACCTCTATTCATCCCAGCTAACACCAATATCCAAATCATAAGTAATTTCCACGAGAACAAATTTAATCCTTGCTCAATATCGAGAATCATCAATTAAAGCATCCGTAGAATCATATAAGAACACAACAATATCAATTTAAGACTCACGGTCATACTCGACATCAACGTATAGATACTCGTCACCATGCCTATACGTCGCACTCAACAAGAAGCAAATAGCAAATAGGACTCAACTCCTAATCCCTCAAGCTAAGGTTAGACCGAACACTTACCCTCGAACTTCCACGGCCAACTCAAGCCTCAAACACTGCTTTCCCTTTCGAATTTGGCTCCAAATCAATCGTATCTAGACATAATCGACTTAATAACATCAATAAGCACCCAACAATCCAATTCCAATGTTCAATTATAACTTTCCAAGCATTCTTTCCGAAAACCCAAAAATTAACCCCGGGCCCGCTTGGTCAAAATACGAGGTTCGGACCAAAACCCAATCACCCATTTAAGAGGGGCAGTGAATTGTAATCGATTTAAAAATGAGTTCTCTAAAATGAAATTAGATTATCTCTAAGTTCATCATAGGATATTTTGTCAAGATCCTGACATTCCAAGGTAATGACCTTGGGTTGCCAAATTGTGGGAAGACTTCTTAGAATTTTTCTGACTTGTTCTCCGCTTTTGATTGGTCTCCCAAATGATTTTAAGTCTCCAAGAATTTTGCTGAACCTGGAGAACATTTCCTCCACTAATTCTCCGTCCTTCATTTGAAATAATTCATAATCTCGAACTAGGAGATTAATCCTTATTTCTTTAACTTTGTTGGTTCCTTCATATGTGACTCTAATTTGTCCCACATTTCCTTTGCAGTTTCACAGCTTGATATCTTCTCATATTCTTCTCCACTGATAGCATTTTGTATAGCAGATTTTTTGCTTTAGCATTCACTGTTTTAACAGCTGATTGTTCTTCGGTGTAGTCATCTAAATCCAGAGGATCAGATGATACTACAACTTGACCATTTTAATCTTTCTTTGGCGGAATTGGAAGATTTCCCTTTTTGATCACGCGCTAAACTTTAATGTCATATGACATAGTATATGTTTCCATATGTACTTTCTAGTGAGAAAAGTGGTGGCAGTTGAAATACGGAGGTCGTACCTGAGAAGTTCCTTCTTGAAATAGCGCTCCAACAACTTTATTTGATCCCATAATCTTTTGCTCAGTAGCTGTTAAGCAAATTTTGTGAGTCTTGCTCTGATAACAATTGAAAGTACAAGAGGGACGGTGAATTGTAATCGATTTAAAAATCTTAGTTGACTATGTATTAAGTTTAGTCGACTAGACTTTGCACAGTTAATTATTACGATGAAAGTGAATTGCAAGAGTAGAAGGATAAAGAAGACACAACGGTTTTATACCGGTTCAGTACCGGTGTAGTACCTACGTCCAGTTTCCTTGGGTCACAAGGGTTTTCTTAGATATTGGATAAATGTTTATAATAGTGATGGTTTTAGTACGTTCACCACCAACGATATACAACAATAATGATATTTGCGATGTTGACACAACTCTTGTTTGTGTTCTAACTCTTCCTATCTTTTGTGACACTTGCAGACTCAAGAATACAGTATTTGTGCTAAGAACTAGAAAGACTTAGAAACAGATTGTGTAGTTGCGTATCTTTCAAAGTTCTTATGCTTCTTCCTTTATAGCTTTTTGAGTCTTCTACTTCCTTGTCTTCTAGGATTGTATTTCAGCAATTCTAGGAGTCCTTTCCTTGTAAGGCATATACATCTAAGTGAAAGACCCAAGGGTTGCCTCATGAGTCCAACTTGAAATGGTAGCTATATTCATCTTTATTTCTTACGAATTGCTTCCTTCATTCTTCCTTGACTTGAGACAATCTTGGCTGATTGCTTTCTTCATTCCAATCTTGGTGGATTGCTTCCTTCATTCTTCTTGACTTGAGCTTCTGCAGAATCCTCTGGATTTGATTGATGTCCGTGATTTGCACCATTCTTGCGCACTTAAGGATCTTGGTCAATACTGATTGAGCTGTCCGTGATTTGCTCCATTCTTGCGTGCTTGAGGATCTTGGTCAATACTGATTGATTCCCTTCTTCTTAGGTTAATTGATTTATTTTTCATGTAACGCAAGGTTCAAGATCCATAGCTGTTGAGTAGATCTTCGTTCCTTTAGTAATGTTGTTGCTCACCAGAATCTGCATAAAGGATATATCATTAGTCAAAGCTTCATTAGGGTCGTTGATCATTATTAAAATTCTAAACTTAACATTTCTCAAACGAGCTTTTATCCTTAAGCTTTTAGTACCATAAATTTTAAATTTTTTTCTTCTTAAACTTCGAGAAGTTTTTCAAAATCAGCTTATGGTCCATTTTGGTCCTATATCAAGGGGTCTGGATTAGCTCGCATTTCTTTTGGACCGCCTTGGAACTAGCCCAGATCCAGTAGCGAACCACATGATCAAATTGGACCGGATCCTAAACCGGAGAAAAACTTATTGAAATACGTGCATAAGAGAAAGCTGTCGTTGGAGATATCTCCGACAGCACCCTAAGCTGTGGCAAACAGGTGGGTCTGTAAAGCCTCGTAGGTCTAAATATCCCATTAGTTGTTCTTATTAGCTCTTTATTTGTAATTTCACGAGAAAGATGCTAATTGTAGCTAATACCATAGCTAATTGTAGGTAGCTTGTCTGATAAATACTTGTAAAATTAAAACACAAAACATTGCCCAAAATTTTGATCCATCATTAGTTCTTACTTAACTCTGAATTAGTGGCGAAGCCAGAAATATTTTCAAGGGTGTTCAAACTTGAAAGAAGTAGAAAAAAAATTCCGACAAAAGATGTTCAATATAAGTTTTATATATCTAAAATCAATATTTTACTTATATACACAGTGTAATTTTTCGGCGAAGGGTTGTCAGTTGACCACCCTTTGCCAAAGGTGGCTTCGCCCATGCTCTGAATACGTGATCCTTATGTATCACTAAATATGTTTTCCTTAATATATTTCCTTCGTAATACCACTTTCGTCCTATACTCATTTTGTAAAAGATATTGTTATCTCATAAATGGTCTTACAAGACATTACATCTAAGGCAAAACAAATAAAGTGGGGAAATCTACTGTAAAAATAAATAAAACATACCATTACATGATTTACGAAAAATGAATTAGTATACAAGTAGCTAAAGATGAACCCTAAACAAGTCGTTTAAAGATCTTTAGCACACCTACTGCCAAGTGCCAACATATCAGGAAGGTGAAAAATACTACTAGTAGTGATTGCTTGGATTTTTCACCTTATGGGGCAAATCAGTTAAAAAACTGTTACTCAAAATCAAAATAAAGGTACATTATCATTGTGTTAGCAATAAAAGGAAAGCGAAGAAAGTTTATCAGACAAAGTAGCAACTTTGTCACGTGAACTCTAACGCGTTGACAAAAGTCAATTGATCTACTCAACAGTGCAAATCCCAAACTTTAAAATCTAATTGCACATCTCTGCTCATCATTTGACTTGCTTCAAGCGCAAGATTGGAATTACAAAGCAAAGAGAAACCTAAGACTAGCTTGATCAGAGAGTAGAAGGGAAAGTTACAGAGCATTTGGGCAAATCTTTTCCAAAAAAAAAAAAAAAAAACATTAGCTTGATCATGACCTAGATGTCTCCTATGCCACATAGTTATGTTATTGGAGAGGCAGATAGAGTTACTTTCGGTCCAAACTATGTATACATATGCAAAAAAAACATTTAAAATGTATACATATAATAAGATCACACTCATTCTGAACTCAGTGTGACTCTAAATCCTACATTCGCACCCTAATTATAATTCATTGGCGCTGGTGAGAGTGTTGTTGAAAATCCAGCAACCATAGGCCTATTATTAACCGCTGTTTGCTCTAAGGACTGAAGTTGCTTCTTTAGAAACTTAACATAATGGACAGCCTCATCCAACATAGAAGCTGTGTCCATTTTAGTGCCTCCGGGGACTAGTCTTTGCAAAATCCTAATCCTTTCACTTATTCTTTCCCTCCGATGCCTCGCCGCTACACTCTGTGGATCCTTTGATATCTTGACATTCTTTCTTTTTGGTGGCTTCACTGATTGAGGGTCAATGTGAATCGGCTGCATCATCGCCATACGAAAAATCATCTCCCTCATTGCCTCCATAGAATTTCTGTTTTGTAAACATGAATACTCATTTCCGTTACTATGAGCAGATGCAATAATTTCATCTATGGATGAAAGAATTGGGATATTTGGTTCTTCAATAGGATTGCCCATGAATGAGAAATTAGAGGGAGGAGAAGTCATTAGATAATTAGAGTACTTATGGACTGGTGGTTGTAAGGGTATCATTTCAATGTTACTGCTGGAGAATCCAAGTTCTAGGGACTGAGCAATATCCTGTAAATCCATGATATGTAAGGGAGAGAATAGGAGAGATAGAAATATATGGGAATTGAAAGAAGAGCAAATATTAGAATGAAGATGGTTTTAAAGAATTCAGGGAATATATCACAAATAGAAGTGCTAGCTAGCTCCTTTGAGCACAGCATGGAATTGTCAGTGATATATGCATATATATATGACAAGTTGTGACCTGCTCCTATGTTTTTATATTCGCTAAATGCTTACTATATTCCAAAGAATACGCAATGATATAGACCACTATAGTATTTTATTTTCTTTATAGTATAAGCCTCAAGTACATAAGTAGCATTTCCATTTGATGATAATTTCACAGTTACTAAAGTTTGAGATGAAATAAGGAAGAGAACTCCATAAATACCGCCAAGATTAACATGATAGATTTAGTTAAAACACATAAACAATGTAAAGAATTGTTATATTATCAGTGCAGTTTCATCTATTGTAGCAAATCATGATCACCTTATTTCGACATTAGCTTATAAATGTGAGCACTAAACTTTAACAGGATTTGATTGTGTAAATATTAAAAGGAGAAGTCAGATCAGGGGAATGCGGTAGAGTAAAGGTGCATGAACCAAAAAAATCCAGCCATCACTAAGAGTTAAAACCAGGTATGGTCCTAGGGATGAAAAACTCTAGCTTTGCCTTTAGAAAAATTAACTTGAAAAAACTGGAAGGGTAACCCCACAACACATGACATCTGTCAGAAGGATAACAAGTCTGGTTTCAGAAGTAGGGTAGCAAAGAATGAACAACTTACCTGTAAAGTTAGCCTTTTTTTATTTTTCTAATTTTTGCATTGAGGCATTGATTTTCAGAGACAGAAGGATGGCATCCATATTGCTGCAATTGGGTTTCTGCAATGATGCTTCTATGGCACGCATCTTGATCCCGATTTAGGAAGTTTGAAGCAAGTTTAGTTGCACATTTGGACCGATCCTCTGCTCCTCAAGTTCAGAAAATGACTTGTTTTGAAACACCTTACAAACGAACTAGGAAATTTGACTGCCTAGTAATTATCAGATGGTCTGACTATTTCTAGTTATGTTATGAAATTGCAGGTCCAAAGTCCAAACTCAGCTTACAAGTTACGGCTCTTCTGAAATATTCTGCTTGTTGGTTCACCACAAGAAGCAATGTTTGTACTGTGGTCGTTCAGTATCCCAAATGATTAATTATCCAAAGCATACTCTGCTTCAGTTACTAATATGCTCAGGCAAAAATAGAATTTTCTTTAGAATACAAATCCTATATTGAGTTGGAGTTCTATGCACAGACAAGGTAATGCACACAACTCTCTTTAAGAAACATTTAACCTATGGTAAATAGTTTGCAATATACTATAACAAATTAAATTATACTGAAGATGTAAAAATTCATTGAACTATCAGTGTATATAATTTAAATCTTCTTGCATTTAGTTGAAAAGATCTTATAGGCCTTGTTCATCTGCCTGACGTGCTAATTTTTATTGGGGCTTCCTTCAAAACTCAGTAAAAATAGCATGGGCTAGCCAATTTTCGGACTAGTAATTCAAAAATAGCCAGCGTTTGCAGTGTCATTGAAAAATAGCCACTATTTTGCTGCAACAAGGAAAGTTCCAGCATAATATACTGGAGATGGTGCACCTGTGTATGAACTTCCAGCTTATTATGATGGAACTCCAACACGCGGAAAGTTCCAGCATAATATACTGGAGATTGGAGCACCAGTGTATGAACTTCTAGCATATTATGCTGGACCAGTATATTATACTGAAACTCTAGTATATTATGCTGGAACTCCAGTATATTATGCTGGAGTTCCAGTATATTATGCTGGAATTCCAGTATATTATGCTAGAGTATTTTCCAGATTTGAATAGTGTTTTCGTTCAGATTTATCTTTACGTGAAAAGTGGCTAAATTTCGATTAATTTTGAAATTGTGACTACTTTTGAATGACCACTTGTAAATCTGGGTATTTTTGAATTTCTCCATCAAAACACTCCAGACCCCACTTATGGAAAGTTACTGGGCTTGTTGCTTCCTTCAAAACTCTGTACAAGGATATGTTTCACTTGTGCCCATTGAATGCAGAGTTACGATTTCAACCCTATGAGTTCTGAATTTTAGAACGGCGAGTTCAACTGTTAATGATTTGGTTCTAAATTTAATATTTTTACATATTTTAAACACAAAATTATTGAAGTAGTTTATATATAAAACTCATGCCTAACTCACAAAACACGTTTCCTTTGTTCACTTAATATTACATAACCTTTATTTGAAGACAAAACGATCGAGAGAATATCATTCTAAAGCATGTTGGTTAAATACATAATTAGCCCCATTAAAATTGTATGAGTTCCATTAGCTAGGATGAAAAAAATACAACAACAACAACAACAACAACAACAACAACAACAAAAAACCCAGTTTGATCCTAATATGTGGGGTCTGAAGAGGGTAGTCTATACGCAGACCTTACCCCTACCTAATGCAGGTAGAGAGGCTGTTTCCAATAGACTCTCGGCTCAGGAAGGGCAAGAAGAAGAAGAGGGAAGCAAGGAAGGAAGAAAGATGGAAGAGAAAAAAAAGGGATAGATAAAGGATAAATAGTATCAAATAATAGCAAAAGGGAATACAATACCCGAGGCGAACAAAACCACATAACGTAATAAAAATCTAAGAATATGAAGGGACATGCATGCTACTAAGCCTATCGGTGAACACTATAAACTACCTACTAACTTTCTACCTTAATCCTCGACCTCCACACCCTCCTATCAAGTGTCATGTCCTCAGTGAGCTGAAGCAGCGCCATGTCCTGCCTAATCACTTCTCCCGAGTACTTCTTAGGCCTACCTCGACTCCTTCTCAAACTCTCCATGGCCAACCTCTCACATCTCCTGACAGGGGCATCAATGCTTCTTCTCCTAACATGTCCGAACCATCTCAGTCGTGACTCCTGCATCTTGTCCTCCACGGAGGCTACAACCTCCACTTCATCCACCCCGCTCCGATACGAGGTGTGACATCTTCGTCAATCTCCCTGTTGCCCTGGATAATCGATCCGAGATACTTAAAGCTCGCTCTCCTGGGGATAACTTGAGCATCAAGCTTAACCTCTACGTCTGCATCATGGGTCTCACTGAATTTGCTCTCCAAGTATTCTATCTTGGTTCTACTCAATTTGAAACCTTTAGACTCCAAGGTCTGTCTCCAAACCTCCAACCTCGCATTAACTCCTCTACGCGTCTTGTCAATCAACACCATATCATCGGCAAATAGCATGCACCAAGGCACCTCCCCTTGGATGTGACGCGACAGTACATCCATCGCCAAGACAAACAAAAATGGGCTAAGAGCCGATCCCTAGTGCAACCCCATCACCATAGGGAAATGGTCTGAGTCACCACCCACAACCCTCACCCGAGTCTTAGCATCATCATACATATCCTTAATTACCCTAATGTACTCTACCGGAACGTCGCTAACCTCCAAACACCTCCACAGGACCTCCCTCGGAACTTTATCGTATGCCTTCTCAAGGTCAATAAACACCATATGCAAATCCTTCTTCCTCTCCCTGTACTGCTCCACTAATCTCCTTACCAGATGAATTGCTTCCGTAGTCGAATGCCCCGGCATGAATCCAAACTGATTCTTGGAAATAGACACGCACCTCCTCACCCTGACCTCCACCACCCTCTCCCAAACCTTCATAGTGTGACTCAATAACTTGATACCTCTATAATTATTGCAATTTTGAATATCACCTAGGATGAAAAAAATATAACCTGTAAATATAAATCTGCTGAGATTGCTTAGATCTCACCAAAAGAAATGCTCAGAAGAATGAATACAGAGATAGCAGCAAGGTAATCAGAATGGGCCTGCGCACTTTGGTTTGGATTCAGCAATAGCTTATATTTTAGGGTAAATAATTCTATCAGAATGACCTCTGCAACATCATAAATCCTAATATGGCAGAGTATAGCAGTCAATTATTTCATCAACATGACAGGAAGCAACTAAATTTTCCTCATAAGGTCTAGTTGGAAATGAAAAAAGTCCAACCCATTGTTCTTGGTTATAGTATTTTACTATTTCTTTTGTATACTCCAACAAATCAAACAATCAGCCCTGCCCTACCACCCTAATCTTTTATCATAGTAGAACGTCTATATATTCCAAATAATTGTACTGGGTAGGACGTATCTTCTAAAGGTTTAAATATTTTCATCAACATTTGTTAGATAATATATACAAAACTATTGTTCTGCAAGTGGTTACCAGATAACTTACTTTTTCATTTATTTTTTGGACCCAAAAGCAATGTTGTAATAACATGTAGACATCTGATTCAATGTGAAGAACGCGCAGGCTTCAATATCACAACTATAATTATGCTTCAAATATTAACAAGTTAAGGTTGATTATATAATTTCTCGCCGTCCAAGAAAAAAAAGGAATAATGATCAGGAAAATGTTAAAGAAAGGATATCATCTGAATGTGATTAGCCTACAAGATTCGAATGTGCTACAACAATATGATATCAAATTTGTTGGATATCAGTGTCGCGCGATAGAAGATATTAGTATTAAAAAGCACAAGAGTTTGCGGAGGGTCATGATCCCTCTAAACCGACAATGAATTAACTCAGCTTTACGAAATTTTCGAAAATAAAAAGATAAAAAAAAATAAGACACCTTCACAAAACATTAGTCACTACATGTCCCAAACTGTTGGGTTTAATTGCGGTAAATTCCGACAGGGCGAAAGAACTGATAAGTTTAGCTTTAGTTGCAAGTGATTAATTTGTGTAAAGAACCTGTAAACTTTCTTCAGGGTCAATGGATTAAGTAATAGGAATATAATATGTTAAGCCCTAAGTCGTTTTAAATTAGAGAGTACAGAGTAGCACTCTAATCCTTTGTGAAGTGTTAATTTTGTAATAACTAGCAGTATATGATTTTAAGGGTCGTTTGGTTTGAAGATTAGTTATGCTGGGATTATTTATGCTCAATGGTTTTGCTAAGGGTGTTCAAACTTGAACAACAATTTAAAATCGATTTTTTTGTTTTCCGAAAAATGGGTATATTAAAAATAAATTCTCTTCTTTTTAGTCCGACCTTTATATACAGGTTTCCTTCCATTAACCGTCGTGTAAAACTAATATCTCTTACAAAAAAAGAAGATAAAAATGTCGAGTTTAGGCAAATAAAAAACAAAAAAAGTTCCAATTCAACTCAATATCATTGTTTACCTTTAAAATTAGATAACAATTAAATTTGTAAGTGACTTTAAGGATACGCGGATTAATTTAATACAAAACGATAAATTAAGTCAATAATAAGAAAAAGTTGGACAGGAAGTGGTGTTTCCGGTGGCGGACGTGTGAGTAACGCTTAAGAACTTGCCCTTGGGAGGGGAACAACAGCTGGAAACGGCTGCTAATACCCCGTAGGCTGAGGAGCAAAAGGAGGAAAGATAGACTAAATTCAAACCACAAGAATAGGATAGTTCCAGCCTTAGGCCTCATTTGTTTGCACTTAATGGAGGTCTGAATCATTCAGATCTCAGATATTAAGTGTGTTTGTTTTTAAAGTCTGAATCTTAATTATCCAGATCTTGATCATTAAGTGTGTTTGTTTTTTTTTACTTCACAACCACTTAATGGGTCTGAATAGGTCTGTATGATTAAGATCTATAACAGAGACTTAATTTCATTAAGATACTATCACATATTCATTATTAACTGCAGCCACCGCCTACCATTATCAACTACCACCACGGCACCACCCCCACCCCCACCACTACCACCCCCACCACCACCACGCCACCATCATCCTCAATCATAGCCGCCACCATCATCGACCATCACTACCCACTATCCCCACCACTCCGATCACCATTATTTTCACCTACAATCAACACTCATCCACCTCAACTACCACAACTGACCACCCCATCACCATCACCATCAACAACCACAGCCGGCACTGCCCATCATTATAACCTACCACCACCCACCTACCACCTTCCTCGGTCACAACTACTACCACCACCCACCATTATTAACTATCACCACCCACCACCACCATCCTCAATCATAATCGCCACCACTACCAATCAACTACTAGCATGAACCAACATCATCAACCAAAACTACCACCAACCACCGCCTCTGTCGGCATTCACCCGTCAGTCATCACCACCAACAACTACCATATTTAAAAAATTATATATTTTATTGATAGAATATTAGATTAGTTAGTATTTTATTTGAATTTTATGTTTATTAATTTTTAAATAAAGATAAATTTATACATTCAGATGTTAAAAATTAAACAGTCTTAATTATTTCTATTCAGATCATAATACACATCTTAATATATTCAGATGTGTGTTCAGATTCAGATGTCTTAATCTTAATACACATCTTGATATTCAGATGTGTATTCAGATTCGAACGTCTTAATCTTAAAAAAAAAAACAAATGATGCCTTAGTGAAATAGTCATCCTTAATTCGGGCTCACCACGACCAACACTAACGAACGGGAGAAATAGCTAATAGCAGAGAAGATAATAATATATTACTTTGGCGTGTTATTACAATGTGTTTTATGAGTAATCAGACCCCCTTTATAAAGTAGGGGAGTTTTACATTTGGTACAACTCTATAAAAGGTAAAAAATCTTCTGATTAACTAATTGCCGGTTCCCTATCGATACGTGCTGAGATCCCTACCGTGATATCCGGCTGGTCACAGATATTTCAGTCTTTCGCTAGTTATGCTTGATTGTCGACAATGTCCTTTGAAGTTTTTCGAGGCTGGGGCCGATTCTAGAACTATGACCTCGACATTCCCGAGGGCAGGCGTCGTGCCCCCGGGCTCTAGCTCGATGGGACCTTCGGCTCGATTTTGGTCCCTTGCCACCATATCTTGAGCCTGACTTATCTTGTCGGAAGTCGAGGTGCATCATGAGCTCGGTTTTACCCGCATATAGATAGTATCCTCGTTTCTCAGAGGGTAAATGATGAGAAACGGCATGAGCTTCTGATTCCTACTTCGACACATCGCGGCAGAAATGACAAAAGACCCGAAAAGTCTCATCAGTCACGTCATAATGGCATTTAATGCATGTCGGCCGCCAGTTGGCTATCCCTAGACGCGAAACATCGCCTAACTAATATAAATACCCCTTCCTTTGTTCATTTTTACTTTACATCAAACCTCCCACTCTCATACCTTTAGAATTTCAATAGTTTTGAGCTTTTACCCCCGTTACTCAAGGTCTTTTGCAAAAATTTCACCCGTCTTCTTCCTAAGACAATAAGTCTAATTCTTCAACTTCCTTTCTTTCTTCATATTTTCTAGATATACTCCATTTTTACTTTCTAAGATAATGGCAAATACCTCCAAAACTGTTCCCTAAAAAGAAACTCCTTCTACTTCGCGGCCGGCCATTGAGGCCGAGGCGACTGCTCCGAGCGTAACGGCTGATGAACCAGTGGCCGAACCTCCCTTGAAAATGTTCAACCCCGGGTGATGCTCGATCAATAACGATTTCATAGTCGAAAAACCTTCTTCTATACAGGTTCGGTGCGAAGAGGTCTCGAGATACATCTGTTCGATTACCGAAGAGATCCTCTCTATGGTTCGGAAAGACTACAACTGGGCTGATAAAAATGTAGTGGTCCCCGACCATTACCACCCATGTCTAGGGATACCTGAGTGTTTACACTTATCCCTTTACACTGGGATCGGTGGACCCGGTCATCGTAGACTTCTGCAAGAGATACGAGGTATGCCTCGGTTATATCCATCCTTCAATGTGGAGGATTGTGATCATCTTACATTTTTTTATGGACAAAGTCGACTCATGCCGTTTTACTGTGGATCATCTACTCTACTTATACAGTCCCCGACTGTTCCGAGGGGACTGATAAAGCTGGTGCGCCGGGCCAGCAAGGCCCCGTTCTCAAGTATTGACGAAGACCGAGACCGAGGCTGGCAATGCCATTTTGTTCGAGTGAGGACTTCGGACTTGATTCCAACAGAATGTATGCCATTCCCTGAGAAGTGGAATACATCAAATAAGTAGAAACCTCCCTTCAATTGTTGATTTTATGTTCACTTCTTTTTTTCTTATCGATATTCGTGGTGATGCAGCCATCGCTCGGGTCCCAAATTATGTCCCTCAACTCAAGGAGTGGGTCGAAGGTATTGTTTCAAAGATGCCCTACTCCGAGCGCTTGTGGCACGAATCTCAAAGGGCCGTTGGGAGACCCACTCCCATGGTATGATCTCTTTCCCGATCAGGTTGTGTTAGATTTCTCTCTTTTAACATCAAGTTCTAATTTATTCTTCTTTCTTTTGCAGGTTTGCCTAAGGACGTTGAGCTTAGGCCTCCAGTAGGTGGCGAGGACTTGCCTTCCGAGTCTCCTGCTCCGGGGAAGGCCGGAGAGAGGAAAATTAGGAGGGCTCCGAGCTTCCCGACTCTTGGAAAAAGAAACAGAGAAAGAGGTTGGTCCGCAAGTCAAAAGAAACTTCCAGTTCCCGAGTACTTGACTCAGACTCACCCTTCCGGCTTAGGGACGAGTCTGAGGAGGATGAAATTTTAGTGGCCCGAGATCCATCGGTCCCCAAGGACCGTGTGTTAGCCTTGGAAGTACTGAGGAAAAGTCCACCCAAGGGAGAACGTGGGTCTAATTCGAGCCCGAGACTGGTTAATCGGTTCCCTGCCCCTAGTGCCGATCATGGTCGGAAAAGGTCGATTATTATCACCGTTCCAGAGGATGCCCGGGTTCTTTCCGCACCTATCGTGCTATCTAGTTACCTCCGGTGTCTGGTGACCAAAGACGACTAGGAAAAAATGAACGAGCTAGATTTCCCATGCCTATTCAACGAAGCACAACAGGCACTAAATCGGGTAAGGTGTCACCGAACCTTTTCATTTTTCGGTTCTGGTTATTGGTGATCTTAACATTTCTTCTCATATTTGTAAGCCACGGTGCTTCACCATGAGACCTTCCTCCGGTATCGAGAAATCTCACTAAGAAGAGAGACATGTACAAACTTCTCAGTGAGCAACGCGAAGAAGAGGCTAAGAGCCTCGAGCCAAGTTGGAGGCGGCTCAGAAAGAACACGCCGACCTGGTGGAACAGGTAAAAATCTTTGAAGTTAGTGATGATGAGCTAGACACGGTGACTAATAGTCAGAACCCGCTGGTCCAACAGAAGATTGATCGGATCGATCGGCTTTGAGCCGAGATGGACATAATCAAGGTCGAGGCGGAAGAGTGGAAAGTCAAAATGGACTGCTTCGCCTCGAAAAAGGAAATTGCCCGGGCGCAATTGGCCTCGGCGTAGGCTCAACTTCGAATGATGAGGGAGAAGGCTGAGGCACAGTCCTAGAATGCTGAGGAGTTCCAATCTCAACTAGCTCGTTTGTTGCTAATCGGGAAACCCTTGCCAAGGAGCTAAAAGCGGCCAAGTCGGTGGCTAAATTAACCAAGGCCGATGCCGACGAGATGGTAGCCCAGTAAAGAGCCGATGCCGAGGCGGCCCAAGACCGCTTGAAAGACATTGTTGAGTATGAGAAGCAGCATTCCCGAAGGAGGACCTTGAGGAGGTTTATGCTCAGAGTTTCGATTTGTCGGCCGAGATCGCAAGCGCTAAGGGGCTCGAGGCCGAGGCCAAGAAGTTGGCTTACCCCGAAGACGAACATGAAGAAGACTCTGAGGGTTTCGACGGATCCCGGGGCGGAGAAGACCCCGATGGTCCCGGTAATGAGACGGGCTCCGGTGAGGATCATGCTACTTAGATGCCTCGCAGATATTTTTGCTTTTCTGCTTTTTGTATTATTTTATTTTTTTTTCTCGAGGCCGTTTGGCCTTTGTAAAAATTTCTCAAGGCCGTTTAGCCCTTGTAAAACCTTTTGATATGTATACACGGCTTTTTCCCTTTAACAAATTTCAAGCTTTTTTCCTTTTACGATTGCAAAGATATCGAATGCCTTAGCACATAACAACTAGATCTTGTTCGGAGGTTCGAATAAGCCTGGGGGGGGGGGGGAGAGGTGCTCGATATGACCGGAAGCTATCCCCAAAGTACTTAGAATATTTTGAATTGCAATTTGTCGAGGGTAGCCTTTTGAACCGATTTAAAAATCTTTAAGGCCTTATATTTTGGTTACGTATCTCGGATGTGATACGGAATCATATTGATAACACGGATAATGCAAATATACGGAATCAAAAAGATAGAAGATTAGGATTTAAAACAGAGAAAGACAAGAACCTAACTATGAACTAGTTAGACCCCTTGAATTTACTATGATAAACACCAATCAAGGAAGAACACTAATAAGAAATACAGATTAAGCTAAGTAAAGAATACAATCCAAAGCCCCTAGAAGATACTAGAACAATGAATTAACATTCAAATACAAAAGATAATCCAAGAGTATGAACATGAACTCATACATGATAAACCTAACATAGATAATCTAAAAACATGGTAAATAAAGAGAAATAAAAGCTATCCTAAACCTCTCAAGGTTTGGTCTTTATTTATCAATCCGTCATCAAAAGCTTTTCTTCAAAATGTGAGGAAGGGACTACTTATACTAGAGTGTTATTTAGGCTAGATGACTAAAATACCCTTAGGCTAGTAAGGAAGCTAAGTAGACCTAAATTATAAGAGTAGCCTAAATAGCTAAATTGACAATATAGCCTTCTTGATCTTGACTCTTTTAAAGCACTCCAATGCTATGATGTTGACTAGGAAATCATCAAAGAAAATGGGTTTCATTGAAGGTTGTTGATTTGGGATAAAATATGGTCCGAGCGTTAATACCCGGTATTTATGGACTAATACCATACAAGGTACTACATAACCATGTTAGTAAGGTGTACAAGTTATGTTAAAAGTAAGTAGTATTTTAAGTAAGTTGAGATAATTTTTAATTATGTGGATAATTGATTAATTACTGGGTAATGACATATTACCTGATTAATTATGAATAAGGATTAAATGGCATGATGTGGCAACCCCCCATCCTTTCAAATTAAGTGACTCACCATCTTGATTGAAAGGTGACCATCTTAAGTAATATACGCATGACACTTACGTAAAGACATTTAGAAGTTTGGTTTCATTTGAGCCTTAATATAATCAAGTAAGAAATTTCAACATAATCCAGAAGTTTGGCTTCCTAATTCAAACCTTGCAAAATAGATGTTAACCTCAATCCAGCAAGATTTCAACACCATTTCTTGAAACAAAAAAATTCCAACGAGAATTCTTAACACCTTAGTAACGTGAGATTTTGTGATTCTAAAGGAGTACAGTGCAACTTTTTCCAAGAATATCATACGGATTTTTCCCTACTCCAGGTATGTTAAGGCTTTCCCTTCTTTCTTTTTGGCATGATCCAAATGATACAAAAGAAAAGAGCAAACGCACAGCTTTCATAAATGACTCTATTCATAGAAATACTAGGGGTCTCTATGTTCTAGATTCCCCATGTGACATATTATTATATCTTCTATTCATGGGTCTCAGAATAATACGCAGTTGATAAAGTTTATCCGAAAGGAATATTGAGATTATTAACATATTTTCATGCATTTCATTCATTTATACATGTACATTGACCCATGACCAGATGGCGTTATATGTACATATAAGTATATGGGATATGGAAAAAGGTTACGGTGTTATATACGCACCACCTCCTGATCAGTTGGTATATGTTGATAATTTTGCCCACAATGGCCGAGATGATATGATGGGGTGCCCTCAGAGGCTTGATGATGTTATGTACACCTATACCTATGCATGACACAACATTTACACGCACGTGCATAATATTATAACTGTTTCAGGATTTGCAAAGTTATTTAGATTTACAGGCATAATTCCTCATTCCATGTTTCATCTATGTCTCTTATGTACTGATTTTATGCCTTACATACTCAGTACATTATTCATACTGACGCCCTATTCCCCGGGGCCTGCATTTCATGCTCGCAGGTGCAGGTAGGCAAGCTGACGGTCCCCCTTCTTAGGATCCTTGATATGTGAGAGTTGGCGTGCTCTACTTGATCCGGAACTACTTTTGATTTTGGTATGATATGCCTGTATACATATATTGGTATGACGTGGCCCAATCATGTCCTTGTACAGTTGTATTTTCTATAAGAGGTATGTCGACAGTTATGTATAGTTGGATAGTATGTGGCCTTGTCGCCTTCGAGTTTTGGGTATATTGTTATCTATAGCACCCTTGCTGGCTCGCCCACTGTATTCCATATGTATAGGTACATATGTATTTTGGATAGGTTTCCCTCACGTATGTTATTCGTGTCTATATCTTAGACACATGCTTAAGGATGTTCGAAAGGTAGGACTCGGGCATCCGTCGCGGCCCACTAGTTTGGGTCGTGACAGTTACAACCCATATTTTCGTACATGAAAGGGGCCATAAGTAAATTGATGAAAGCTCGAAAATGAGAGGCTACATCCCGCATTTTCGTATGTTGAAATTTCATCGTAAGTTAATCGGCGTAAGTTCGGGAATGAGTTTATTTTGAGATTATAGGCATTTTACTATTTCAAACAAGTGATAAGTAAATTCGTGAAGGTGAGAGCATAGGCGAATCGAATGAAATGAGCTTCGTCGAGGTTTGACATTTTGGGATAA